TGTGTCTCTCACCTTCAAAATCAACCTGTTCCAGGATCACACAGTGTGGACATTATTTCCCAGGTTGAATTATTACTTAAATAAATCTGTATGAGATTTATAGCACTTTGGTTCTGCCTGTTGTGTGGATGAATTCTATTTAGAACAATGTATTACAGCGTACCATAGATAAAATAATGAATTATATAACTTTCCCCTATTGTTTTCCTTGTCTCAAAAGGTATAGAATATTATATTGAACTTGTGATACTGTTTTCTAAAAACATAGGTGGTAAACAATTCATATTTGCTCATCAGCCATGTAGAGTTTGGCAACTCTGGTTATCTGCACTGGATTTACACAAGACTGGTCCTGCTGCCAATCAGTCATAGAAGGTGGAGGAGTTCAGATGGCCTTACCTTTGATGTTGAGCTAGTGGTTATTGATAGATTCTTGGAGACAGAGAAACATTGTCTTCTGATGTGTGCCCACTGTCAGGCTCTACACCCATGGCCATAGAGAAGGCCTTGAATAACCTCAGTGAGTCATAAAATAAAATGAATAGATGCAAACACGAGAGATTAGTGGAGAAGGTTGGACAGGGATGGTAGGGATGTGGGAGAGTGTGGGGTAAGAATGGCCAGTATGCATTATGTAGACCTTTGAGATTAATTAAAATCAAGTTATAGAAACACACACACACACACACACACACACACACACACACACACACACACACACGCACGCACGCACACATGCATGCACGCACGCACACATTTTAAATGAGTGAATATCTGCAATGAATAATCTCTAATTGTCCTTCAGCCTTTGGAATCCTGTGACCACAGGGTACTTCCATGAGGAGGAATGCTACCTATGTTGTGTTACTTTTTATCTCACAGGTTATGCACACTGACAGACACTAAAGCATATTTTTATATTACCCTTTTAAAAAACACAAAAAATGTAGTTCTGAAGGATAAGTTGACAAAGGACATGGTGAATTTCCAAAATTAACTGTGAAAGACAGATCATCTAGGCATGACTGAAAGCTATGCATAACCTTTGTGCTTAGGTACTTCATTTCAAAATGTCACTTTCTCCTCATTCAATGAGACTGTCATTATTCTATTTTAAGCTTTAAATTTTGTGTTCTGAAGCTGAACAGGAATTATTGCTTCTATCTTTGGGCTTATTAGAAATAATTTAAAATTCATTTAAAAGTGATAAAATCACCTTTTTCTTATGGCTGAATTCAGTTGAATGTTGAAAATTGCAATGCAGTTCTTATTGTCTTTTTGTATGTGTGTGACTTTAATTAGCAATAATTCTACATCTGTATATGTAGCACAAGACTATTTTAAGAGCCTAGAAAAAACTGCATCGAGAATTAATTTTCTTTACTTTTTTAATTCACCAGAAATAGATTAAAGTAGAATAAATTAGGGGATAATATTACCGAGAATTTCAGACTTTTCCATATATAGATAAACTTTAAAAATATGACAGTTGAAATATGCTATCATTGATCTACCCTGTGATACATGGGCAAATGAAAAGTTACATTCCTGGAAACAAGTATTCCTCTGATCTTCCCAAAATGAATTATGAGATTTTTGGGGGGTTATGAAATAAAGATGCGATATAGCAATCACCTTCCCTCCAATGTCAAGGAAAGAGATTCAATTATTTGTAATTTATTTGACATTTTACTCTCTAAGTAATCCTTATTCTCACAATCCAATATTGGTCCAATGCCAATGGGCCAGGGAAAGAACTACTGGAGTTATATGAATCTGCTGACGATGGGCAGTCTTCATCAACCAGGGAAGGGAAGAGAGAGAAGTTTGCTTCCTGGTGTGTGAGGGTTTTCCCAGGAAAGGTCAGCTTTAGAACTGCTTCATCCGATGGGGAGCTGAGGAAGTGCACGGACTAAGTGTATTGCAACAAGGGTCAATTACAAGCAGCCAACCTCCAGAAAGTGGGTGAGAGTTAGGTTGTCTATGTGTGGGCATAAATTAGAGGCTGGAGAATCGTATCACAAGGAACCATGATTACTGTCCTGGTGGTAAAAGCCTGCTCTTGGGTGGATATTTGTCCTGAATAATACTGTGGGTAACAAAAACATGCTCTCTTGAAGAAGGTGAGATGGTGTGGGGCAGGGGATGGAAAAAAAATCTAAAAGGTTGCCTTGGGATGAGCTGTATTAATTTTTTTTATTATTATTAAGAGATTTTCAATTCATTTTACATACCAACCACACATTCCCCTCTCCTCACTCCTCTCACCCCCCAGCCTTCTCCCCCAACCCACCCCTCATTCCCACTTCATCCAAGGCAAGATCTCCCATGGGGAGTCAGCAGAGCCTGGGACATTCAGTTGAGGCAGATCCAAGCCTCTCCTCCCTGCACTAAGGCTGTACAAAGTGTCCCACCACAGGTACTGGACTCCAAAGAGCTGTATTAATTTTTAAAATAATAGTAATACACATACCATCCTAATACTAGAGGATGGAATACAAATAGGAACCCATCATTCAACTATAAAGGATACTTACGTATTTACATAGTGATCAATAAATACATTTTTTTTTTGTCTTAGTTACCTCAGGGTGACATAACAAAATGGGGACATGATTTAAACTACAGAAGTTCCTTTCTTCATAGTCTTTAACACTAGCAGTCTCAGATCAAGTCACGGTGTGTTTAGCTTCTACTGAGAGCTTTCTGCCTCGCTTGTAGATGGATGCCTCCCTCTGTGTTCTGATATGACAGGTAAGGAGAAGTGTAGAGACTCTTATAGTTACCACAAAGGCCCCTGACTTCTGCCAAGCTTACATGTCAACCACAGTTCTGCCTCCGGGTGTCATGATATTGTTCGATGTCTTTAATAGAATGTTTGTGTGTGCAAGAGGACCACAGTTCAATCAATGACGACTGCCACTTTTCATTATCATCTCACTGACACCCGGAGATTCACATATCATGTTTGGTTTTCCTTGTACAAATTTTAAGTTTGAACAAATTATCTGTAATTTGTTCAAACTTAAATTGTCTCCATGGTCTAAAGAGCTTGTTCATATTTCTTAAGATTAGTTCTTCTAGCTTACGTATACTGTACTTTTTCAAATAGGAAATTTCTCCATTCATTTCATGAGTATAAAAGATATTTCATTTTTTTGTTCCTTTTCACAAAGAAAACAGACATTTGCTCACAATTTGAGGAAAACACAAGCATTGACACCACTTATTCCAAAAGTTACCTTCTGATTTGTATGGGAAAGAAGGATGTTGCCTCCAGGTTTCTCTGTTCACACAGCTACTTTGGACAATGTACAAAGCCTGTTCCCCCACCCCCATTATCTGCATAGAATTTCATAGAGAAGAATGAAAGCCTTACTCTGAATGTGATTGTTCCCATGTAGGGAAGTTACCCATCTCAAAGCATCATACTAATTGTAGGCTCAGATTAATCGCTTGCTCACAGGGCTCCTCACTCTTATATTCCCCTCTTTTAGAACCCAACAACCAAAGGGAAATATGTTCCCAGTATCACTTGTTTAGATGATTCTCTATGTTTGGAAAGTAACAGGAAATAAACTTCAAAGAATATTCTGGATAGACTTTCCTTCTTTGAGGTTTCCATTCTTTCAAAAATCTTTCTAGTTCTAAGTCAGGCTTATTCATGGATAGCTTTACTTTATTCTAATTTGGAATTTTTGTGTGTACATAATCTGATTTTATTTTTTTTAATATAATAAAATTCATGCCAAGTTGGGTGCTTAGAAGTATTCCTATATTTTGGTAAATTTTTGAAAGGCTTTTGTGTCATAAGCAATGTGATTTGAAAACAGCAAAGGAGAAATGCAATGTTCCTTGATTTGTGCCTTGACATCCCTCTTAGTTTGCAAATCATAGAGTAGTCTGGTTAACTTTGTCCAATCTTGGTACCTGTGAACTCTGACATCAGCTTACCTCATGTACTGACATCTCCTTAAGCCACTAGATCTGCCACATTTTATCAGGGGATAATCATTATAAGTATTAATCAACACAATGAGGTAATAGGGCAATAACAAGATTCCAGAATCTTTCCTCAAGATAAATAACAGGTTTTCATTGCAGACATTTTCCACCTGGATCTACCTTACAATATGGTGTCAAGAAGTTTGTTTTCTGTCAAAAGGTTAGGAATTCCAGTCTAGAAGGAGGTGGTTCATTGTTATACACATCTGTCAAAAGTTCCCAGTTTCCAGCAGTTATTGAAGCTTATGCGTTGTCCCTTGGTTATTCTCTTTCAAAACTCTCCAGGGAGTTCAGATGTGAGAGTGGAACATCACTAATAAATTCACGCCAAGAACGCATTTAAGACATCTTGCTGAACAAAAGTAGACAAGTTCACCCTAAACTGTAGCAAGAGATCTAGAGATTAACTTGTCTAGACTCAAGATTTTCATAGCAATTTCTCTGAAGTCTTGGATCCATCTTCTTAGGAGCTATTTATTTGCATCAGCAGAGATTAAATTCAACAGGCTAAGTTTTTTTTTATCCTAAATGAAAGGTGAAAGCCATACCAGTAAAATATCTCAATTTCTGTTACATTTTGTGACCATTTATGTGAACATACATCATATTCTCTCTACCATCACCAATTTCAGTCTCACTTAATTCTTCCAAATTGATTTTTATATGCCATTATCAAGAAGCTTCACCCTTAAGTTTTCCATTGGTAATCCCAAGACTGAGTAGTAACTACCCTCAGGTCTAATGCATTTATCAGTGTTGGATGAGTAGCTAGATAATAATTAGTCTGAAATTGAGAGTCAGTATGATTCTACCATTAAGATTTTCTGTGGGCCATATTTGACTGTGAGTTTGAGTTTTAATCAAAGACTCAAGCTAGTAATGAAGTTGAGTACTCCTTGTATCAAAGAATTGCAGAAAATCCAAACACAGGTTGAATTTGAAAACTTTCCAATATATTCATTTTTACTCCCCAATCCCCCTTTTTTTTCTTTCAGTGTCTGCCAAGCCAAGACCCCACAGTGACGAATACTCGAAGAAAATCCCCCCTCCAAAACCAAAACGGAACCCTAACACTCAGCTTAGTACGTCATTCGATGAAACCTACATCAAAAAGCATGTGCCAAGGAGAACCTCGCTCCCAAGAGATTCATCCCTGTCCCAGGTCTGCAGCCCTGCAGCAGACCCTGAGGAAGAGGAACCGGTGTACATCGAGATGGTTGGTAACATTCTTAGAGACTTCAGAAAGGAGGACGATGACCAGAGTGAGGCTGTGTACGAGGAGATGAAATACCCCATTTTCGATGACCTAGGCCATGATTCCAAATGTGACTTTGATCATCACAGCTGTTCTTCGCAGTGTGCTACTCCCACGGTGCCTGACCTGGACTTCATCAAGTCTTCAGGACCATGTACTCCGAAGGGTCTGCTTTGTGAGATACCCCCACCCTTCCCCAACTTGCTTTCTCACAGACCACCCCTGCTGGTGTTCCCGCCAGCCCCGGTACACTGCTCCCCCAATTCCGATGAGTCTCCGCTGACCCCTCTGGAAGTCACAAAGCTTCCTGTGTTGGAAAACGTGTCTTACATGAAACAGCCACCTGGAGCCTGTCCACCCTCCCTGCCATCGCACACCTCCAGCCACGCTAAAGACCAGAGCGGAGCCCTAGGCCCTGTGCCTGCGTCCTCTGTGCTCTCTTCATCCCCTCCACCTCCATCCACTTTGTACAGAACCCAGTCTCCTCATGGCTATCCAAAAAGTCATTCCACCTCCCCATCCCCCGTCAGCATGGGGAGGTCCCTGACGCCCTTGAGTCTCAAGAGGCCTCCCCCTTATGATGCTGTGCATTCCGGCAGCCTCTCAAGAAGTTCTCCCTCAGTGCCTCACTCGACCCCTAGACCAGTGTCGCAAGATGGGGCCAAGATGGTCAATGCCGCGGTGAACACTTACAGCGCTTCTGTGCAGAGTGGCTCCAGGTCCCGGACACCCACCAGTCCTTTGGAGGAGCTCACCAGCCTTTTTACCTCAGGGCGGAGCCTGCTGAGGAAGTCATCCAGCGGCCGAAGGTCCAAAGAGCCTGCAGAGAGTAAGTTGAACAACCTGGCCTTGGTGCAAGCCTCAAAACCAAAACGAGGCCCCTTGTGCATATGCAAAGCTCAAGTGACTTGCTTCTGAGTCTTTTGGGTTCCAGTGTCAAAGTGCAAAGACATTTTTTAAATTTCTGGCATGCTAAAATAGCTAGTGTGTTCTAAGTAGCACTAACTACAAAGATTAAAAATGGCAATCTGCCCAGTTATAAATACATTCTACCCCTACCTCCCCCGCAAAAGATACGAGTTTCTTAAGACTAAAATCGAAATTCTTACAATGACCACAAAAAGTCTAATGGAGAACACCATGAGGTTTTTGAGGTTTTCCGGGAAAAGCTTTGATTTGGAGGAACCTAAACATGCACATCCAGAATTCTTAAAAGTCAAAGCTTAACAAAGATGGCTCCAACTGGCTGTTGGAGATTTCCTACAGGAACTCTTGCAGGAAAGAAAGCAAACTGGACAGAGTTTAGGATTTCTTTCCCTTTCATATAAGGAATAGTTCTGTCTACAGACTTAATGTCATCACAGGCTTCCCTTCATTGTCAATGAGAATAGACTCATCAGTTCTCTACTACACACCATGGCAGGGTCTGGAGAGATGGCTGGGCAGCTAACATACAACACATACACATATTCCACCAGCACCACCACCACACCACATACCGCACAGACACACAGACACACAAAGACACATACGCGCGCACACACACACACACACACACACACACACACACACACACACACACACCCACCCACCACCGTCACACACTAAACACAGACACACAGACACTCATACACATAAAAAATAAAATAAAATGAATCTTTAAGCACCATAGCAATATCCTATGTTTAGGCTACTCTTCCAGGATCCATTGTTGTGTACATTATATGAAATCATTAAGATGTGAAAACTGCTGCCAGTGATTTTTAAAGACCAGGAAATTTCAGTTTCTGAGTGACTAGCTCTTTCATGAGCCATACATAGGCTCACAACACAAGTCTATAAGAAATTCCATGCAGTTCCAGGTCAATTGTCTCCATGTTCAGATCATTCAGTCACACTAGGTTTTATTTGTTTTGATTTAAACATGCTTTCATCATTTAAACTGATTGAATCATCATGTCAAGAGAGACCACCATGCAATTTGGTTTTCTATTAATATGGTTCTACTGTTTATATGAGGAATCAAAGAAGTCCCTATCACTTTTGGTGCTGGAGATGACCGTGGCATCCTCAAGTAATCCATAGTCCTTGGTAGTTGTAAGTGACTTTTCCTCTCTTTACCTGGAAATTTATAAATGCATTAGTTAATCAAATGATACCCTCCTCCATCTTTTTATGTGTCTAACTAAAAAGCAGTAGTTTTTAATGCCTTCAACATGTTTGAGTTACATCTATACATATATGCATACTTATAATTATCTTTAAATTGTTTCAATAATTGAATTTAAAAATTAAGGGGATTCTATATTCATGTTAGATACATGAAACAAAAATTATATGTCTATAACATATCAACATCTCAAATCACTCATGCACACACTTCAAAATTCTTAGGAGTAATCTGTCTATAGAACAGTTGTTCAGAATTCAAACAGTTTTTGCCTGCAGGGATGTTTGACAATGTCAATCTCTAGTAAAATCATTAGCTGGCATTCTGGAATGATGCTGTTGTCTACAACATGGAAGCTGGGATTGTAAAGAATAATTAAAAACTACTCATTAAAAGGCAGATACATAACAAGTTATTTTTTAAATAAAAGAGAAAATTGTGAAGAAATGATTTACTTTTAAATACACAATTACCCTGTGAAATCATCAGGAGTTTCACTTAGGATTGGTGAAACCATTGGGCTTTCTCCCTACCTATCAGCTTCTTCGGAGACTCCTTAACACCCCTAGCTGGCAACTGTGCCAATTAGCTAGAAAAACTATGTGTAAAAGGGACAATTAACTAATGAAGTTATTTCAGGGGGGAAAAAATCCATCTGCTAGTATCAGTTTATGTGCTATATATCAGAGACACCACTGTTTGAGTTTGAAAGGGCTTTGCATGCTTCTAGAACAAAGCTTGTGCATGCAAGAGTGACCTGGATCCTTTGCAGCCTTTGGGAGGCAAGGACTGGGTTCCTTTCCATCATCTATTAGCTTTGTTTCAACCCTTCAGAGAAAGTCATGCTGAGTTTCATTAGCCATGACATTTTATTCTACATAAAGGGGAGGGAAGAAAAATGCAGGGTAGGAATGAATAATGAAATTTTTAATTGTCCTTGACTGTGGAGGAAAATAGAAAAATATTGCTTTATGCTAAAAAAATCAGAAGTGCTCTTAGAAATATTATGTGATCCGCAAGAACCAAAATTGTTAATAAACACATGTTAGCTGGTAATTGTTGCCTCACTACCTTCAATGATGTCTTTTTTCCTTTACTCTAGAGGGACAAGGTTTGTAGGCACCTGTTGATATCATAAACACAGAATTAGTGACACAAAGTACTGAGAAATTCATGACTTGAGTGTTGTTAAGTTTTTTGAAGTAATATTCCAGGATTATTTTATATTTTAGGGATAAAAGGAAGATTGATGTCTGTTTTCCCTCTCCCTTTCCTCATTTGAAAAGTAATTTTAAAGCATTTAATCTAAAGAAAATATGATCTTGCTTTTAACTAAAGAAACAAATGTAAAATAAAATTTATACTTTTGAATATTATTTTTAATGATCTAAAAGACACGTTTTCTAGTTTGCTTTCTGCTGCTGTGCTAAGGCAACTTAAGGAGGGGAAGGGTTCATTTGGCTTACACTTTCAAGCCACAGTCCATCACTGGAGGATGTCAAGGCAGGAACTGAAGGCAGAAATCTGAAGGTAGGCCTACAGTATTACCTGCAACCAGGGAAGCCACGTCATAGCCAAAGAGGTACAGCAGAAACTGGAGAAGCACTGTTTGCTGGGCTCACTTTCCAGTTCACTTGCTCACAGGCTCATATGTAGTTAGCTTTCTTGTGCACCCCAGCACCAGTTTCTAAAGAATGGTGCTGCACATAGTGAGCTGTTCCCTTCTGAATCAATTAACAACCAAGAAAATCCCTCATCAGAGCTAGAGAGATGGCTCATTTTCACTTGTTTCTCTTACAGGGTACAAGAGTTCAGTTTCCAGCATTCATATTGCAACCACCCCTAATTTTAGTTCCAGGGGATCTGGTGTCCTCTTCTAGCCTCCATGAACACCATATATACATGTGACACACAACATACATGCAGGTCACTCACATTCAAAATTTAAAAAAAAAATCTTAAAAATAATTCTTTCAGGGACCTGCTCACAAACTAACCTAATAGAGACAGTCAGGTTTTCAGTCCTGACCTGTCACAAGATGCATCGACCTCAGAAATCTAGGATTCATGTATTTGACTGCTGACATCATGGTTATCACTGTACAGTAGTTTGATAGTCCATGACTATTCCAAGGGAAATTAAGAGAGTGATTCAGGACTGAAGCTATGGCTAGGGAGGTGGCTCAGCGGGTATGAGAGCTTGTGACGCATGATGACCTGAATTCAGATCCCAGCACTCACATAAAATGCTGGGAATAGGTGCTCACATGCCTTTAATGCTAATGTTCTGAGCAGTGGTGACAGGAGGATCTCCAGAGCCTATCTCCTAGTTCATTGATGGCCTCTGTCTTAGGGTATTAAAGCAGAGCGTGCTAAAAGAGGACGCCCCCCAACATCCTCCTCTGTCCTCTGCACTCACACACATGTACATACACCACACATATGTCATACTCATACAAACAATAACAACAGCAACAACAAAACAGCTAAAGGCAGTGACATCCCCACAACAGATGATCCAGAAACTGACTCAGGTAAACATAAGAAGTATGACAGAACCTTAAATGCTCTCAGCACCCCCTTCTTTGTCTTTAGATTTGTTAGTTTGTCCACCCCGACACTTGTCTTTAAAATTACAAAAACAAACAGCATAGTTTGTTAAGAATGGGCTGGTCTGTTCAGTCAGTCTTCTTTTAAAGCTAACAAAAAATCTCTACTCAGGGTGGTAAGGTTAAGCAAAGGATAACTAAAATTCCTTGATTTTGGAAATCCATGTGACTCCGTGGTTACTTGGGATGGTGACATTGTCTGTTTTCCTCATTCAGTTTATCCTAGAATTGCAGTTCAGAATCACTGAAGAAAACATAATTTCATAAATAATTGCTCACCTTTCTGGGGGTATACTGCAGCTGTCTTTGATTGATGCAAGTAGACATGTTTATCCCTAGTGTTTATATTCACTGGCTCCTGAATCTTTAAGTGAAATTTCTTGTCAGCAATCTAAGCAGCAATTCTCTCCATTAAGAAGAACCCTTGCTGCTTTAGACTCTAAAATCCAGTCACATTGTCAATTCAGAAATAAACTACATTGGTCTATTTAAAAAGAGAATCTCTCAGTCATACCTATACTACAGCTGATTTCTTTCAGTTTACTTACCTGATTAGTTAGATGAAAAAGGAAATTTATTATGTCAGTTTCATTTACTACCATAGATTTTGAAAGCTTTGACAAATATAATTATTTAACTCCTATGTTTAAGTAAGAAGTTTCCTAGTGCCATATTATAGTGTCTGATGCATGGCTTCTACTTAAATAAATGATCTAGGGATTTAGAGCAAGATTGGATGTCATAAGAAGTAGTTTCCATCTTGGCCCAATCACAAAGTGTTGAGACTTTGGATGAGGCTTTTATGCCTTTTCCAACTTGTCAATTGAAAATACAAGGTGGTAAAACCCAGGTCTCTTCTGCTTCTGTGAACTTCTGGGTGGCTTGACAATCACCAGGTAAACCTCTGAGTCTTTTTGTCTGACATTTTCACTTGTTGCAAGGGATTCCTATAAATTCCATAAAACGGTGTCAGTTTTACCCTGGCATCCCTATCCAGAATCTGTCAACTTAGAATTTTACTTATGATAGCATCTTTGTGTGCTTCTCTTG